AGTTTGTACAGGTTGCTTTTTTCAATGAAAATGAAATCACTGATGAAGGAGGCTCCCAGCTGAGTAAATTATCTTTATGCCATTTCCTGCTATTTACTTTACAACTCCAGGTACTGACACAATCTACTGCAAGACATCTGGCTGCATGGGTCACTGTATGGCATTTCTAGAGATGCTCCAGAATGCCAGCTGGGGCCCACGGCTCCTCAGTTTTCCACGGGGCCAAGATTTCACCCATGACATTGAAAAAGCTTCCATCAAAATTACTGTGAATTAGATATTGCTTTGACAACTCAAGCGTTTAGGAATGAAAAACACTTCCTATTCATCCTCACAGAAACTGTATATGAAACTATAAACCTTCGTCAAACAACAGCTGTTTCATAAATGTAAGTAAAGGATCTACAAATTGCATTCACGACAAAAAGTGTTTTCTGATGTACCAGTCTTGGTTCAGAGAGACAGGACACACTATACTGGCACACTTTTCCAGAAAAGGCCTTCAAATGCCCGCTGTAGAGATGCAAAAGACTGCGCCTAATATCTGATTTGCTTACATTAGAAAACACATTTTAAAATCTTTTCATTTCCTGAAGAGCAGTCATTCAGTTTCCTAACTCATTTAATCTCTAGCAACAAGAACCTCTTCAAGGAATTACAGAATTGGCTGAATGTGGCCCATTGTTATTTCAGCATTTTTGTATTGCCAAGGAAAACTTCATACAGATTTTTACAGTGGTTGTTAAACAATTAGCTACTCAGCAGAAGCTCGTGTAAGGGATATCATTTTAATATTGCTATGTTTATTACCATTTTACTTAGTACTTCTATTCATGGACTGAGGCTCTATGATGCTAGACACTATCCAGACACAAAGCTGCTTATCGTTTAAGAGAATTCATAGTCTGAATGATTTAATAACAAATACAAATAAATTAATACTGTAGATACACTTCTGGGAATATAAATTTAAAATGAGCACAATTACAATAATTTATTATAGTTTATAATATTTCACATTACTATATTTTTGTATAGAGAGGCACATTTTCTTCAGGATTTTCACACTGTAATGAATCTATGTTGTCCTTGGTTTACTAATTTTCTGTAATCAACAATGCTGTTATTTCACAATTTCATATGGGATAATTGTT